GATAGATAGATAGATAGATAGATAGATAGATAGATAGATAGATAGATAGATAGTAGATGGTAGACTGCTTGTGCTTGTCTGGTCCAATCCCCAGCACTGAAAATAGATAAAGGGATAGATAGAGAATAGATGGATGAATGGATGGATGGATGGATGGATGTGTGGATGAATAGATAGGTACACAAATATATGACAGATGATATATGAATAGAGAAATGATAGAGGATAGATAAATGATAGGTAGATGATAGATAGATAGTAGATAGATACATACATACATGCATACATAGAGGTAAAGATTGATAGATGATAGATAGATAACATAGATAGATAGATGGCAGATAGATAGCCAAATAAGCAAGCAAACAAATAGTAAAAAGTAGAATTTAGTTATTGGGTGATGAATGTTGGACATATAAGTGGGTTAGGGTTTTTTTTTTTCCCTTTGAGGCAAGGTTTCTCTGTGTAGTCCTGATTGTCCTGGAACTCGCTCTGTAGACCAGTCTGGCCTCAAACTCACAGAGCTTTGCCTGCCTTTGCCTCCCGAGTACTGGGGTTAAAAGTGTGTGCCACCACCACATGGCATGGCTTTCTTCTTTTTGTTTGTTTTTGGGTTTTTTTTGTTTGTTTGTTCGTTTTTGAGACAGGGTTTCTCTGTAGCTTTGAAGCCTGCCCTAGTACTAGCTCTTGTAGACCAGGTTGGTCTCGAACTCACAGAGATTTGCCTGTTTCTGCCTCCCAAGAGCTGGGATTAAAGGCGTGCACCACCACCACCTAATTTCCGACATAGGCTCTTAGTATGCCCTGGTTGGGCATTTATTTCTAGGCCCAGGCCTGAATTGGAAAGCCAAGAATAAAGACCAGTAACCAATCAATCAGTTAATCAATCTCTCTCCCCCTTCCCAATCCCACTTTAAAGCTCCTATGGAAGAGAGTGCCCAGCAGAGTGGGTGGCACTGTTAGGCCACCTTAAGGGTCCTGTCCAGCCCTGCAGTCCCAGCCTATGTTATTTTGTGCTTGGGAGATTTAGTTTTTGTTTTAAAGCAACTTAACCTAAGCCTATAACTGTTCCCAGAACCTAATAATAAAACCCAGAAAGCTGAAAGAACTGGAGACACACATATGACACAGGCCTTACAAACCAGAAAAAGAAAAGCAAGTGTCAGGGTCCTCTCTTCTGTGAAGGGAAGGCAGGTCATTAACTGTCGGAGAAAACAAGGGCAGTCAGGATGATCTGAATATAGGAAAACTGAAACCCATTATGTTGGACAAAATGTAATGAAACCTAAGAAAATGGGAATGTGGGGCTGACAACATGGCCGAGCAGGTAAGCCTTCTTGCCAACAAGTCGAACCTGAGTACCATCTCCAGAACCACCTGGAAGCAGCAGAGAACCAAGTTTGTATGTTATTCTCTGGCCTCCACATGTGATCCTATCATGTTTGTATGTGTGTGCGTGCACACACGTAAATAAGAAATCAGTGGAGGCAAGCACAGAAAATGGGAATGTGATCGGGATAAAAGCCTACCACAGAGAAAGGAAACACTGGTCTTTTTGGGCTCAGTTTCAAAGCGGGACCATAGCCAGCAGTGCGATTCTCTAACCCTACTATGTAGGAGGCTGAGGCAGGAGAACAGAGAATTCCCAATGAGTTCAAGACCAGCCTGTTTTACAGAAAGACGGGACATTTATTTCTACACAATACCACTGAGTTTAGATTAGTTCGCTTTTGTTTTTTCCCCTTTGAGCCGGGAGTCTCGCACTGTAGCCCAGGTTGGTATTGAACTCAGGTTAGCCTTGACTCCTCAGCAGTCCTGTTGCCTCAGCCCGGCCTAGCGCTCCAAGGTGGGGATTACAGGCTTGGTTCGCATATCTGGCTCCACCTTTATCACTGTTCTTTTCTTTGCTCAGACTCCTTATGACCCCACCTTCTGGGATTACCGAGGTGTGTGACCACACCCACTTGCATGTGGTGGAGGGGATTGAACCCAGAATCTCACGCGGGCTAAACAAGCTGCACCAGCCAGCCGCAGGCTCAGGCCCTTGGCGCCGTTTTCTGGTTTATCAGGAGAGCAGCACCTTAAAGCCAGTGCTCCTCCCCCTCCTCCCCCTTCGCTCTTTGTTTTTTGACACAGGGTCTCTCCTTCCTGTTTACACCACACTGGCCTCAAACCCGAGATCCTCCTGCCTCTGCCTCCTGAGTGTTGGGATTAAAGGCATGCGCCACCATGCCCAGCCGCCTTCTCTTCTTATTGTTAATAAGGGATCTTTTTAAAATTTCCTTCTATGTCAACAAGTGACTCTGTTTTTCCGAGGCAGGTCTCACGCTATAGCCGGTGCTATCCTGGCGCTCGCTACCCGGCCCAGGCGGGTCTCAGACTCAGCACGCTCCGCCTCAGCTTTCTCAGCACCATCATTAGGGTCATGTGCCACAACACTCAGTTTTAACAAGCAGCTTTTCTTCAAAGAAACTTTAGTGGACCATGTTATAAAAAAATAAAGATCAGTACAAACATATTCAAACAAATACTGTTTATGAGGATAAAAAATAGCCGAGAGGGGTCCGAATCCAAAGCAAATGTGTGAGACCAAGTCAGCACAGGAAATGGGCATACCAAGGCATGGGGAGATGGCTCAGCTGTTAAGCGCACCGGCTACACTTGTGGAGGACCCTGGTTCAGTTCCCAGCACCCACACGATGACTCTGTAAAGCGAACCATCTATAACTCCAATTCTAGATCTGATGGCCTCTTCTGACCTCTGACTGTTCCAGGCACACAAGCGGTACACGTGCATACATGCAGGCAAAACACCCACACACATAAATAAATCTAAGAAAAATTAATGGAAAAGAAGCAAATGAAAGAACACGGGAAGGTGTCTCACATTCCAGAGTCTCCCCTCCAGCACCTCAAGAATGGAGAGAGTGTGTGACGAGAGCGTAGTTGGAGGGACACGAGCCACTGGACTCTTCACCCTGAGGTTCCTATTACTTGACTTGTTTTGATGGGAGTGGTCCCGTCTTAATACTGCAGCTACAGAAAGGACCCATTCAGTCTCCGCTGACAGCCACTTAGACAGTCCCACTCAAATACCCCTGTCACCCGACTGCCCCGGCTCAAACTCCTTGACTCCGAGGAAGCCATCTACGAGAGAAGACGCTCACCACTATAATGCTTGTGCTATGGTGTGAGCAGTTGATTTAAGAGAGGACAAGTCTGGGTCAGGGGAGAATCCTGACACCAGAAAAAAATGGGGTCAAGAAAATGGGCAAATGGGTAAAACAGGCACTGTGGATAAACCCAAGAAACTCCCTGAACTTTTTCAAAAAAGAGTCCATTCCACATGGCCCTGTGAGTCCAAAGGATGGCAGGGACAGCGTCCTTGTCTGTCCTGCCCCAGCTCTGAAGCCCTTTCCTTTAGAAGCAGGGGGTTCATCCTGGCCACCATACTGGAACAGAGTTTCCTAGGCTGGGGGGCGGAGTGCTCTTTTTCTTTCTCTTTCCCTCAGAGAGGAAACAGTAAGTGAAGCCACAGACTGCCAAGAGCTTGGGCACCGACGTCCAGTACGGGGAAGGTTAAGGAGCAATAGAAGGACACTAGGATACGGGACCCAACTGCCAGTCGTGACATTAGTGAACACAGTGGGTGGGGGCTGATCCAGACTTACAGAGGGTCAGGGCATGGAGAGTTAGAGACCCTGAGCTGGTCAGTCCTAAGTGAGACATTTGGATCAGCCCCCGTCCCCCTCCCCCCCCCCCCCGCCCGCCTAGGCTTAGGGGATAGCTCAGAAGAGGAGGCTGGAATGGAAGAGCCAGAGACTCTGGGGTGCTGGGAGTCTGCTTTCTGGACACGACAGTTATTGCACTTAGGGGCTAACTGTAGCTGTGGTTACCTGTCACCAATACATCATATACCGGCAAGGGGTTCAACCCACCCCTTACTGAGGAACTATGGGCCATGAATAAGTACTGGTCAGTTCCTTCAGTGGTATAGCCACTAGTAAGTTGTCCACATTCCAGTACCTAACCTTTCACACATCCTCATGCAAGCAATGATAGTTAAACTCGGTGGCTTTTAAAAAATATATATAAAAAAAAACACAAAAACAAAACCAAAAAAACAGACAGCCAAGTAGAAGAAGGGCTTCAGCGGTGGAGAGAAGGTGAAAGTTCAGGATACACAGGTATAAGACTGTCGGAGAATTAAAAAAAGAAAGAAAGGCCGAAGGCTGACAGAGATGGATCATGGGACTCAGGAAAGTGGCAAGGAGGTTCAAGGATCCTTACAAAATGCAGCAGCTGCCCTGCAAGGTGTTGGCGAAGGAAGACAAGGGACAGCGCCCACTGCTAACTGCGCCAGTGCTGGCAGCTCAGTCCCCATGGCTTCCGCTCTCCAACTGCCTCAGGCCAGGAGAACTCACTTCACACCCTGGCGTCAGTGGTGAAGGACAGCACCCATAAACCCAGTGAAGGGAGGCAGGCAATGTCGGGTATCACCTAATCTGATCCTTAGCTCAAGGGAGACAAGTTGAGAATGGACGAGTCCCTCCATTCTCGGCTCCTGGGATCTCCCAGCTCTGCTACAAACGGGAGTTAGCTGGAGAGCTGGTGGGATCCCAAGAGTCTCTCTCCTTCCCCGGCTTGGACAGTCTGGTGTAGACCTAGGACCCTCTCTAGGCCAGGCGTGCCAATCCTCACCCAAAGCCATCTCAGTTCAGCATGGGTGCAAAGAAACCCAATTCTAAATACAAGGAGGGCAGGGTATTCCTGGAAACTGGTCAGCATTATGGACTGTGGCCAGAGGCTGCCAAAAGGGCAGGAAGACAAGGCCTTAGTGTCATCTGGGCCACCCGGGCCATGAGAGGGAAGCGGCAGATTAATGATAGCCTCATACCAGTTGTCTCTGCAGAGTGGTCTGGGTCACGAGGCCCGGCTTCAGCAGCAGGTTCGCTAGCTTCCGCAGGGCCTCTACTCTGGGAGCTGTCAGCAGCCACGCTCTCCAGTCCTTTGCTCTCCTCCTCAGCCGGGAGCTGAGTGTCCACCCCGACTTCCAGTACTCGGATGGTCTCATGGCCTGACATCACAATGACCTGCAAGTAGAGGATGAGGGACAGCTCTGGGGATGGGAGGGTTCAGGATGTGGAGTTCTCATCCAGAGAACGGGCACTCTGAGAGGGCCAGCATTTGGTCCAGGCTACTGTCCCCGATTCCCAACAAGGAGCAGGCTCTAAGAGCAGAAAGAAAGGTGCCACAGGAGACATTTCTGTTTGTTCCCCATCTTGGACTTAGCTCAGGAGGTGGAAAATGGCTCATCCTTGGAGCCTGCAAGAGCATCCTCTTGGGATACTGAGGTACTAGAGACCTGAAGAAATCTGTCCTAACTTCCCTTAGAGACCACCCGGAGGCTCCCAGAGCGGGAGTGTGGGAAGTGAGTGTTCCACAGTGTTCTGCAATTTGTCTTCATTAATGGTGTGTGTGTGTGTGTGTGTGTGTGTGTGTGCATGCTCTTGTGTGTGCACGCATACATGCATGACACAGTGCTCACGCACCTTCAGGGATTCCCTCCTTTCACCTTGCTGTGTATTTCCTTCAGGAGGCTCTCTTACCTCCCTGGAGGAGGGCTGAATTACAGGCATGCACCACCGCATGCAGCGTTCTTATGTGGGTCCTGAGGATCTAGCTCGGACTGTCTATGCTACATACAAATGCTTTACCTACGGAGCCATCTCTCCAACCCTTGAGTAACTTCTAAAACTCAGATACCAGAAGTTCCCTGCAAGCTAAGTCCCCCAAAGAAGGGTCAAGAATCACCAGATGCCATATCTCCTGCCTCACCCTACTCTGTATCCCATGGACCTCATTTCCATTGTCGGCGCTCTCAAACAGCGAGGGCACCTTCCATGAGTCCCCGCTCAAACACCTGCACAGAGCTCTTTGTTCCATCACTGAACTGCACCCTCCTGGCCCTTCAGACTCCCCAGTGAACCCCATACATGAGAAAGCTTTGTGTCCGTCATCAATAGTGGCTAGAACCACTCCAGCCCTGCACCCTGGAAACTGGCTCAGCCACAGACTGTGCCAGAAAAGGCTTCTGGGACCCATCAAGAGGAATGAATATATACCACAATAGGTTCCTTTGGCAGACTCAACCTTGACCTGGGGGATTTCACTACAATTTCATTTCAAGGGATGCTGATTTATTTTCTTCTTTTAAGGCATAGTTATTTCAGAAATCACAGAAAATACATAGAAGCATAAAGAAAAACGAAGTCAGCTGTTCAAACATGTATATGTATTTGTGTACTTTAACAGGTTTTTGAGATCTTTTCATTTTATGTGTATAGGTGTTTTGCCTGCATGTATACATATCTGCACACTACATGCATGTAGTACCTGCAGAGGCCAGAAGGGGGCATCGGATGCTCTGAAACTAGGTTGTGAGTAGCCTGAGGGTGTGGGGACTCAAGGCCAAGTCCTCTGCAAGACCAGCCGAAGCTTTTAAATGCAGAGCCATCTCTCCAGCCCCCAATGGAGTTTAATTTTAATTTCAAAGTTGCAGCTTAAGATCCCAAACTCTGCCCAAGAAATCCTAGTTGACACTCCTTTGGGCAGGTCGAGTGATCATAAACTTTAATAAGAGACAGACAGAGGCCCCCTTATGTCTTTCTCCCTGACCATATCACCCTTCAGGCCACGACCCTCACCACCCCCACTTCTCACCCCCAGGAGATACCTGCTCATTCACAGTCAGAGATGAGTCAGAGCCAGCTCCAGGATCCATGGTCACTGCCGGGTGGGGTGGGTGCCAGTCCACACCTAGTGCATTCTGGGTAGGAAAGCAAAGGCTGGTGAGCCTGCGCTGAAGTTTCCAGGCTGTCTAGAAAAGTCAGAAATAGAACAATAGGAGAAGAGAAGCCAGGCTCTCCCAAGAACACAGAAGAAAACAAAGCAAGACGCTACAAATTTTGAAGACTCTAGCATCCCAGGAGAGCCCATACCCAGGGGAACCCAGAAGATCTGTTTAGGAAGGCAAAGGAGAGAGGGAGGTCATTTGTCCCTGGGGTCCCCCAGTACAGCTGGTGACAGCACACCCACAAGAGTCCAAGGTGGAGCTAAGAGACACTTGGAACCCTGGGCAAAGGCGAGAGGAGGGTTCTGAACATCAGTGCTTCCCTGAGCAGCTTCCTGAAGAGAGACAGTAGAGAGGGTTCAACCTGGTTCTCTGACTCTCTGAAGCTAGACCAAAAAATGCCGCTTCCTAGGCCCCTCCCCACAGCCCTTGGAGCCTCCGATTCGGAGGTGGATTCTTGAGAGACTCTGCAGGGATGGCCCAAGGACCATGTTGTCCTGTACACAGGAGGCAATGTATTCCCAGTGGTGGCATGGGGGGCCAGGAGCAGGAGGCAAGAGTGGGTGAACCCCACGTGAGGACAGGCTGTCTGGCTGGAGTCATCTTTTAAAAAGTAGGCAAACAGGTTAGACATTTGTGTAGGAGAAAAGGTAACTGTCATTTAATTTGAGTACCTGCTAGAGGACGAGTGTTTTATGTGACACTGACGTATTACTCATCTCTACTCTGGGGACTGTTACCGTCACCATGTCACCCTTGAGGAAATCCAGAACACTGTTCTTACCCCTACTGCCTTTTTTTTTTTTTTTTTTGGCATACTGAGGATTGAATCTAGGGTCTCAAACAAACTAGTCAAGTGTTCTACCACTGCACTATATCCAAAGTCCCACAAACCTTTTATAAACTGAGGTAAAATTCTGCTATGGTCTGAAAGCTTGCATCTCTCTCAGTTCATCTGTTGGAATCATAAGCCCCGAGGTGACAGACGGAAGAGATTCGAGTGTCTGGGAGGTGAGACCAGGAAGGCAGGCTTCCCAGGCAGAAGAAACAGGTTCACTAGATAACCTGACCTCCGCCTTCCAGCCTCCAGCGTCAGCAGCCATGAGTTTCTATTGTTGACCAGCTACACAAGTTACCATACTTTGTCACAGCAGCCCCAACAAAAACAAAGCCACACGGCAGAGAGCTCACCAGCTTAAGCATCTCTGTGATGCAAGGATTGAACTCAAGGCTTGGTGCGCACTAGCAAGTGCTCATCGTAGACCAGGCTAGCCTAGAACTTCCGAGGGCCACTTGCCTCTGACTCCGGAGAGCTGGGATTAGCGCTGTGGGCCAGCACTTTCAGGGTTTTAAAGCATCTCTTTCGGTGGGATTCTGAACATTCGCGATGCTGTGCAACCAGGAACACTTCTGGTTCACCAACACTTTCAGTGACCCAAGGGAACTCCACTGGCACCGCATCCCCCAGCCCCTGGGAGCCCCTCATCGGCTTTCTCTACAGATTTTCCTTCTTTGTAGGGAGGGGCCATGTGGCCACTGGGAATGGAACACAGGTCCTCTGTTAGAGCAGCAAGTGCTCTCAACTGTGGGCCACCTCTCCAGCCCCCAAGGGAACATTTTTGGCCAGGGTTTTTCTACATCGCTAGGCTAATCAAGTGATCACTACATTCTTGTGCTGCTATGTCCAGCTTTAAATTGGTAATATTTACATAACAATAGGGCCCAGTATGTAGGCACTATGAGTGTTACTATTATTGTTCTGGTTTGCTTGTTGAGACAAGTTGCATGCATTCCAGGCGGACCTGGAACTCCCTACCTAACTGAAGATGACCTTGAACTTCTTGTCCTCCCGTCTCCTAGTCCCAAGTGCTGGAGTTATAGGTGCACATACTAAGTTAATCTGGCCTTGGGAACGGAACCCGGGCTCCATGTGGGCTAGGCAAGCGCTATCCCAACTGAGTTTCATCCCCAGTTCTATTACTGCCGCTATTTTAACTGAAACAAAGCAAGCATACAAAACGTTTCAAATCATAACATAGTATAAAATGTAAATGATCACCATTATGACTTTACTTACTTGTTTACTTATGGGACAGGAAGGTGGACCCAGGGCTTGTGCTCCGCGCTGGGTTACAGCCAAGCACTAGTGCTATAATGGTATAGTAATTAAGCCCGGAGGGGAATATGAGTTTATGCCAGATTTTTTTCTTTTCTTTTCTCTTTTCTCTCTCTCTGCTGATCTCTCTTTGGAGACAGGGTCTCTGCATAGGCCTGGCTGTCCTGGACTCGCTCTGTAGACCAGGCTGGCCTTGAACTCCCAGAGGTCAGCTTGCCTCTACCTCTCCAATGCTGGGATTAAAAGCGTGTGCACCACACTCAGCACTCAGTGTTTCCTTTTTCCTTGAAGCAGAGAACCTTTAGAAAACACGTTTCTTTCTTTTCTGTTTCTTAAATTTTCATTCCTGGGGTTTGAATTTGCCCTTGAGCATGCTAGGTCAGTGCTGCATCACTAAGTACCACACACAACACCAACTTCTTCTTCTTCTTCTTCTTCTTCTTCTTCTTCTTCTTCTTCTTCT